AGGCTTTAAAAGAGGTCCTGTGAGTCCAGAGGATCTTGTTCAAGTCCTAAATTTCCAGGATGGCCCATGGCAAACCCCATGGCACTTGCAAGGGAGTGAGACCCTGCTCTGACAGGCTCTCCTATTCCCTGCTACACCACAGCTCCCACGTGGATCAGGGACTGGACTGACCAGGAGGGAGGAGGGTGCAAGCTCTCACCCCAGACACAGAGAAGGGAGGGTGACCAGGGGTCCTGCTATGCTCCCAGGGCTCTGGCAGTGTTTTTCTCCCCCAGACTCTTGCTGACAGTATTGTGTGACTGCAGTGTGGTGGTGTGGCATCCAAAGCTACCATCTCGTGGAGCTGAACAGAAGAGAAAGCACAGGAGGGGAGATGGTGCTTGCACAGGGAGGAGGCAGGGGAGCAGAGAGCAGGCTCTGCTCTGCTAGCTTGCCTTCTCCTGTGAAGCATTATACAAACAGAAAAGGCCATAAAATATGAGATGAACAAGACAAAGTCAGTTATTTGTTGCCCTGAGCATGATTGTTCCCCATGGTGAGTTTTCAAGTGCCTTTTGCTTCAAGTCTGCTCTTAAATGACGCATGTGATGTGGCCTCCTCCAGCTCCTGAAGGGAAAGAGAAAGGAAGCTCTACCACAGTGCAATAGATATCCCTCAACTAAAGCTTTTGCTGTATCTAAAATGTCATTGAATTGCTGCATTGCTGTAGGCATAATAGTGAGTGCTCTGGTGAGCTGAGGAGTTGCTCTGCTGCCTTGACCTGTTGTGGGTCAAGGACACTCCCACTTGTCCCTCTGACCACGGACAACACTGGTGGTGTAGTGGATGTCCTTGACTGTCCTGGAACTGGAAGAGGTCACTATCTATGCTGCACAGTGGAGAAAACAGTAATGAGAAGGATGACCCAGCAGCTGATGACACTTCCAGCACTCAGCTGGGGCTGGTGTTTTAGCAAAGATCACACAACATGCTGTATGCTGGTGCAAATATCTCCTCTGACTTCCACAGGCTGCACCTGAGCAAGGTGTTTTGGCCACCCTCTGGAGATGGCGAAATGGGCAGGGAAGAGAGTGGATGCTCAGGTCTCATACTGGTGAACAGTAGAACCAGGAGTTTATTTTTACCATTTTCATGTCATGTCAGATCTGAGCAAGTGAAAAACAGCAGCTAATAAAATCTGTTAGTCTTCTATTCCTGTGACTTAAATATTGAAGTGGTGGACATCCCATTCCACTGGACAGCACAGGTAGCCAGGCAGTGGTCACTGGGATGGGTTGGATCTGTGAAGAGATCCATAAGAGTGTGACAAGAGAGGAGGGTGCAAACAGAACAAATATACTTCCAGAACTATTTTACAATCTTCAATGATTCACAGTTCAGGGTCCACTTGTGATACAGGGGTGTCCATGTTTATACCATGCTTGGATTTTTACCTTCATTCATTTGTATATCTTTAGATGTCTTTTTAGGACCTTTAGCATCCTGTGTCCAAGGCTTTTAAACATTCATTACATAGCCTAGTGCATGAATATCAGTTTGAGCTTATTGTGAGCAAAGTCATTGCAGCAGTCACATATTTTATTTGCCAGCAGATTCTTCACTGGCTGCTCTGTAGGTGTGAGGTTCAGACAAGCACCTGCTGTGCTTAATGCTGCACATGTTTGGAACATGTACGAGCAATTGAGGTTCCAAATCACTGCTCATATCTTCACAGACCTCTTATGGTTTGTATCTCACGGCAGAGCCTGGGGACTGTGCTGTGGTCAGAGGCCCATCATATCAGATCCTGTGCAAATACACCCCAGGTAGTTCCTGAGAGCTGTAACTGGTTCGTGTCAGGAATGAGGGACAGATCCTCTGCCATTCTCATAAGATTATATATTGATAATTTGATTTGATAATGAGGTTCCTATGAAGTCAAAATTCAGAAAGTGGTGTGTAAGTTACTTCTTCACTAGGAAATGGCTAATAGGGATATATACATTCAAGTGTCTGTGTAAAAACAAACACAGAGACAAAAAAGACAGTGACAAAATTTAGTAATTGCCATGGGTTAGGGATATCTGCACTCCCAGTGGTGACTCATAAGTGGTGTCCTGTGCTTAGAGAAATAAATTGTGTGTCAGTGCTATGCTTACCATGGGACAATTCATGAAGCTGCCACTTGTGTCATCCAGGACTTGTGCTAGGAAACTACATGAGCTTGGAAAACAGGCTCATTTTCAGGGCCCATCAACAGATGGATTTTCAGCTTTTCTGAGCTCCTCTGGGTCAAGGTCATTACATGCAGGAACTGAAAGAATGGGAAGGGACAGGGAGCAATCCAGATCCACACCTGGCCCCTCTTTCCTGTGTCTCAAAACAGCACAAGAGGCAAAAGGGGCTGGGGGATCATGAGGGTGGTGGGGCCTAGGTGATAATGCAGGAAACTTCTACTTGCACTGAAATGCCTGTGGGGATCCTTGGAGCTCCAGGAGAGGCTGGGCAGTGTCTGAGGGGATTTGTGGGCATGTCTGCAAGGAATGTGTGGCATCTCCCCACAGCTGAGATACTGGGAGCTTATCAGGGTTTCCTTTGGATGCCTTCACGTCCGCGCCAGCAGCAGCAGCAGCCCTCTGGGCCGGGGTGGGCTGGCACTGGGAAAGCTGACCCAGCCATCTACATCCTGGCCTTTCCCTCCCCTGCAGAGAGACAAATCCCACGGGGCAGGCACTGCTCAGCACCGATGTGAGTCATGCCAGATGCTGTATGGTCTTCAGACAGGCCCTGGGAGGTGTGATATGGGAGAGCACAGCTGTGTTCCGGGGGAGATAGCTGGGTAATTCACTGATTACACATATGGGCAATGATTAGTGCCACCAGTCGGCTCCTCACCCCGCAAAACGTCTGGATAACAGACTGCACAAAAGATGGACTTTTTACAAGGGCCTGAAGTGATAGGGGAAGGAGGAACTACCTTTAACTTGAGGAGGGCAGGTTTAGATTAGAGATTAAGAAAAAATTCTGTGAGGGTCATGAGGCCTTGGCACAGGTGGCCCAGAGAAGCTGTGGCTGCCCCATCCCTGCAATTGTTCAAGGCCAGGTTGGATGGGGATCTGAGCAACTTGGTCTAGTGGAAGGTGCCCCTGCCTATGGAATGGAAGTGGTATTTAAGGCCCTTTCAAGCTAAAATGTTCCATGATTCTCTGATTCTATGGTCTGCCTAAGGGTTTAGCATAATCTCTTGAAAGGCTTACAGGCCTAACTTCTAGGAGTGGAATGTATGGATGCAGTGCACCCTTAAACATGTGGTGGCTGTAAAGAGCTACTGGCTCAGCCTTGCTCAGGAGCAGAGGGTGCATGGCTGTGTGATTGTCAGCAGGCCCTGCTCTGGTTTTGCTCCTTGTGAATGTCAGCACAAACTTGTGCCTTTTGGTGCTGCTCAGGCAGATGCTGGGCTGGTGTGTTTTGCAGAATATCCTGCACTACAGGCTGGAGTGCCTGCAGAAAGGAGGAGGTAGAAAAGACAGTATGGGATGAAGTACAAGGGATTTTGTCAGTGGCATTGGTTTTTAGAGCCAACTCATTGCAAACTGGCCAGCGGGACTCAGCCATGCTGTGGTGTCTGTGGGTACAGTCAGAGGCAGGGAAACACTCAGAGTAGTGTGCTGGCTTCACCATGCTCTGCAACTTCAAAATCTCTTTTACCTGACCCAGTGTCTCCTCCCCCAGCCTACAGCCTTTCCCTTTTAATCTCTCCTTACAGAATGTGGGTGTTTGTGCTCTAGGAGAAAGAGTGTCTGCTCTTTCCTCCAGGGTGATGATGTCCTGTGAGCCCTGTATCTTCCCAGCTTTCACTTTATCTGTGGATTGAAAGCAGAGCAGAGCAGGCGGCTCAAGGCTCAGAGAGAGCACTTGAACCCACAGAGTCTGCTGCTCTCTGCCTGGGCCTGTGCAGCCCCACAGCAGATCCCAGCACAGGCAGGCAGGTGCTCTCACACAGAAGGGTGGAGTGGGAACATGGCCCTGAGCAGGTCAGAAGAACAAGGTGGTCATGGAAATGAGGGATGATGGCAGGTGAGGAGCCAGCATGACCTTGTTGGAAATCCCATGGTACCTTGTGGGATCTCTGCTGCTCACAGTTCTGGTGCCCCAAACATAAGAAAGAAATGGAACTGCTAGATAAAGTCCAGAGGGGACCACTAAGTTAATGAGAAGACTGGAGCACTTTCCCTACAAAGACAGGCTGAGAATATTGTGGCTGGAGAACAGAAGGCTGTGTAGAACCTTCCAGTACCTGAAAGGGCCCACAGGGAAGCCAGAGAGGGACCTCTTGTCAGGAGCTGTAGTGATACGACAGGGAATAATAGGTACAAACTGAAACAGGGGAAATGTAAACTAGATATTAGGAAAAATATTTTACTGTGAAGATGGTGAGATAGTGGAAGAAGTTGCCAAGGGAAGCTGTGGGTGCCCCATTGCTGTCAAGCATTAAAGGCCAGGTTGGGCAGGGCCCTGAGCAGCCTGGTCTAGTGGGAGAGGTCCCTGCAAGGGCAGATTGGGACTGGATGTTCTTTAAGGTCCCTTCTAATCCTTGACGTTCTGTGATTCTATGACCTGATCTACTCCTGTGCCTCCACTTCCCTCTCTGTTAAATATTTGTGGGTGGGGGAGATTTTCCAGGGCTTTTCACAGATCAAAGCTTGGAGGGTGCCTCAAAAACCATCATGCTTTGCTCTGTTTAAGAATTACTTCATCCTGCCTGATAAGTCAGACAAGAGCAGAGGAGTGTGGCCCAGCATGGGGTGGATGGGTTCCTGGTGAGCAGGAGGGTTCCACTCTATTGCCCAACAATGAGGCCAGGGCCACCCCTGGCAACCCCATCACACAGAGCCCTGCTCTGTCCCTAAACACAAACAAAGACAAGTAATTCTGCTCCTGCTGGCAGCATTACCTCACGGATTACCTCTGTCTGAGTAGCCCTGTAGCTGTAGCAGCCCTGAAGCTGTAGCAGCCTGGGCAGGGCAGCACCCTGCCCAAGCAGGACCCCACCCATGACCAGCCAGGTATCTCCAAACGTCCCTCCATCTCCCACTTCTGGCCAGGATGACGGGAGCACGCCTGGCTTCGAGGAAGAGCCACAAGCACAGGTGATGAACTTTTGGCTGGCTTCAGGGCAAGGGACAGTGGGTGAGCTGAAAGGCTGTGGAGGCCCTCATCCTGGGAATGTGAGGGGGGTGGTGGTACAGAGAGCAAAGACATTGGCTGAGAGACACATGGGGTGTGTGGGACTTGCTTGGCGCCTGCCATCCATAAAGAAGAAAAGGAGACCGACCATGAGTGTGGAACATGAGATCATAGGGAGCAGGTGCTCCAGGTTATGTCAAACAGGGTCTGTTCTGGGCAGCAAAAGTCACACCAGTGCTGTTATGATCTCTCTGACTGGGTCTTGCTTCCTGAAGAGCACTGGAGATACTTTAGTGCCCTGTTCATTTGGCCAGATTGAGGAACAAGCTGTTCTTGCCCATGGTGAGCAGCTCTTCTGCTCAGCTGTCTGTTTGTGCTCCTCTTGGCCTCTGGGGAGAAAATGCTCCACCAGCAGTGCTGAAGTGAATGGAGTGGCAATGTTCCACCTGCTGATTAGCCTAATTAAGAGATAAATGAGCTCCTGGGTGCAGAGGAAGTATGTGCACTGTCAAATTGAGTCAGAGAAGTTATTCCTTGCCGAATGCCCTGGAGTGCCTGGGTCCTCATTCTTCCCAGGGCTGCTCTTGCAGGACCCAGAGGCATTTTTCTCCTAATTCTTCATTAGAATGGGTATCAACACCAGAACTGTTAGTGGATCTTGACTGTACCAAAACTTTCCTTTCCAAACTGAGACTTTTATTAATACTGCTGAAAGCATACCTGTCTTGGGGAGGAAAGTGGGTTTGGTTTAGCAGTTGGCTGCTTAATGCAAAGTGGAAAATGTGGCAAAATCATTGTCAGACCACTGTTGAGTGAGATTTCAACCTGTGAGGGTATCAAAGCAAACATCAGGAGGTGGTATGGAGTAAGCATGAGCAGTCAATGCTCTTCTAACCAACCTTACAGGACCACTAAGTGATAGCACCCACAAGAAGTAAGTTAACTCATGACTGTGATGGGCTAATGCTGCACACGGACAAATGGCTTTGAGAATTTGGCTGAAAATCAGAGGAAAGTGTCTAATCTGCAGAGCAGCAAATTCTGGTAACAGGGTACAACAGAAGGAGTTGGGCAACAATCATCTACCACTAAAATGCAGAGTGGCCAGGTCACCAAAGAGCAGATGTGTGTGGCTGCCTGTGTCAGTAGGGGACAGTATTTAGTGACCCCAGAGATCCTCGTCAGCCCTGCGGGTAAGTGAAACCGAGCAAGTATGAGCAGGTTGCTGTTGGGAAACCAGGAGATATTTGCAATCCAGCCCTTGGCTGACTCACTTAGCTTGCACTTGCTCAAGATCATCATGTCTGGATGCAGAGAGAAGGGGCAGCCCAGCCCACCTGGCGGTCGTGGGGGTGCATGTTGGAGCCCATCACTCCATGTCTGTGTGCAGACACTGGAGGGACAGTGCCAGTATCTACCATGATTCATGGGTCGGGCATCAGATGCTTATTTTAGGTGAGGAGGAATTGCCTTTTGGAGCTGCCTTTTTTTCTCTGCTTGTTATAAACTCAGGCACAGGCTCACACACTTTGTGTACTCACAGAGCAGAGGTGCTCTGACCCACATGACCTTTGGAAAGGTGATGGCTTCATTATTTTTACAGTCCTTGAAAACTAGCAGGTCACTTTAATGTCTCAAAATGGCCATCAGAACCTCAAAATTAAAGGACTCTCACATTTCCAGCAGCCAACAGAGAAGCCCTTCTGAACATCTTAAGGGGAGAAATTAATGTCTCAGTGCCATCTTGTGGAATAACCTGTGTAAAAGGACAAGCTCCTACAAGCATGCTGGAGTTTTACAGAGTTTGGTGATAATATTGGGAATTATGCTGCAAATATTATCACCAAAACAGAGAGTTCTATTGCAAACTGGGATTGCATTTTTCCCTGAGGAGATTGCAAGTCCATGGGAACCCAGTGTTACCAGAAAGTGAGAACAGAGCAGTTCAGTGGGAACAGAACAGAGCAGGAAAGTGGCAATTTCAGCCTGAATCAGAATATTGAGATGCCTACAGTTGATGCCAAAATGCAGGAGACAAAACCTATCAGATACACAGCAGCTTCACTATTTGCACACAGTGAAGGAATCCACTTGGAAGGCTCCCTGAGATCTAGGAGAAAAAAAATAAAGTTGAAGGTCCAATTGTGGATGTTGTGACCCACTGATACCTTGTCCATCAGAGAGGCTGTGAGATCTCCAGCACATGGAGACACAGGATCTCAGGTGACATGTAAAGTCAGCTGGAAATCACCATGAGCAGAAGAAACTTGAGGGTCTTGTCACCACCCCAACCTGCTGCTCCAGGACCCATGGTTTGTGCTCCACCAATAAACATTTGCATGGCAGAGAATGAAGTGACCTAGAAAGGTTTGTTCTGTGCTACAGCATAGGTCACAGACCCACAGGACAGAAACCTTCCCACCTAGAAATATGCTGTAGAAACACCCTTGCAAGCAGCGTGATTATCATCCATCATAATTAAATGATCCTCAGTATCAGAGACAGACCAGTAATTTACTGCATATTTAGCCAGGTGTTCAATGAGGTCAATAGCTAATCTGTCACTGGAGGAGGGATTACCCCAGTACATAAAACTCTCCCTGCCACAAGACATACAATGATCTATGGGGCAGAGAGGAGAATCAGTTTCCCAGGTTCTTCCATACAGCTGCTGAGTGCCCTGTGGGTGAAAGAAAAGCTCATGAACTTTTGCCATGCAGTAGAGGAGAGGGAGGCGAGGCCAGGGGCAGCATGAGCAGAGCACCATGTCCCTGTCAGGGAAGCTGCTGACCCTTCTGCAGAGCTGTCCCCTCCAGAGCCACACTGAGAAGCTGCAGCAGGTTGAGAGGAAGGTGAAGAAAACCAGCAAATAACCAGAAAAGGCTTGAAGGAAAAGGTCTTGAGTGTTCAGTGGATATAAGTTTTTCCATGATTAAGCAAAGGTATTAAAACCTTTTCACCGTGGAAAGGTAAGAGCAGCTGGTGAGCAGGGAGATAGGCAGAGGGAATGAGATGGAGGAGGAATCAGGACAGCAGTGGTTCTGCTCTGGCAGCCAGGTAAGATTGAAGCTCTCTTGAGCCACGTCTCCTTGCTGAAGTTGGCTTCTCCTTGTCCTGTATGAGAGGACAGACAGGGTGGCTGGTGGCAAGGCTCTCCGTGAGTGTGAAGGCACCTGCAGAATGCACAGGTGCATTCAACAAGAGCAAATATCGCACCTGAAACAATGCACTGTGCTCTTCCCAGCTGCAGACAGCAGAGCACACCAGCTCCAGGCAGAGCATCCATGCTGCAGAAGATGTATCCAATGGTCTTGCACAGGCAAACAGTCCCAATCCAATCTGTTTAGAAAATCCAGTATCAAACTACCACCAGAGCAGAGCCAAAATTCCCGTTCAGGTCCCGTGGAAAAGGTTAAGGAGAAAGACAGGCTTCAGGAGCACATCAAGGCTCTTGACAGCTCCACTGCTCTGGGGTTAGGCTCTTCTGGGCAGAGGCACAGTGTCACCAATGCCCTCATAACAGAAATATTGCATCCCTACCATAGAGCTTTTACAGGAAGGTATATGGGGGAGGGAGGGAAGGGGTGGGGGAAAGACTTTGAAGCTAGCTGCTGCTTCATTGTCTTGTTCATGGTTAACCAAAGGAGAAAAGGTGTCTGGGGGTGAAGAGAGGGTGCCAAGTTTCAAAGGGTAACCTGTCTCAGTGCAGTGAAGTGTGCCATCACAACAGGAGCGTGCAGGCGGCTTCAAGGAGGCGGGGAGAATGCTGGAGAAGACTAAGAAGGCGCTCAGGATTCATAACACTGCTGTAAGGGGGATGCTGGCAGAGGCACTGGGAACGTTCATCCTCATGGTAAGGAGGAGTCTGTGCATGTGCATGTGTGTGTTTGTGTGTGTGCAGCCATTTAAGGCAGCGGTTTGTAAGGTCAGTAGTTTTCTACCACATCCTCAGGGTTGCCCAGTGGCTGGCTGCTGCTGCTCACCCCTCTGCTTTGGTGGGGTGGCAGCTTCCCAGCAGGCAGACCATCTGCCAAAAACCTTCTGGAGCAAAAAAGTAATGCAGGGAAAGGGAGGTGGGTGATGGGATAGAATTAAAACATCACAGAATTATTTAGGTTGGGAAAGACCTTTAAGAGTTCAAGCATTAACCTGGCACTGTGGAGGTCACCACTAAACCATGTCCCTAAGTGCCACAACTACATGTCTTTTAAGTACCTCCAAGGTATTATATATATTCAATATCTCTAAACACACCATTTCTTTGGGCAGCATGTTCCAATGATTGACAATCCTGCTGGTGAACAGATTTTTCCTACTATCCAATCTAATCCTCCCCTGGCACAATTTGAGGCCATTTCCTTTTGCTCTGTCACTTGTTACATGGGAGAAGAGACTAGCCCTCTGCCTATACCCTCCTGTCAGGGAGCTGGAGAGAGTGATCAGGTCCTCCCTGAGCCCCTTTTATCCAGACTGAACATCCCCAGCTCCTGCAGCTGCTCCTCATCAAACTTGTGCTGCTGTGGACCCCTTTCCAGCTCCACTGCCCTTTCTGGACCTGTTGCTCTTTCAGTTCTCTTCTAGGAGAAAATTAAGGAAGAGTTTGGGAATGAAATCAAAGAGTAGTGTCTGCAATGCTTATAGAAGATCCCATACAGTAAATGGAGGCTTTTCCTTCTGCTGTGCCAGAGGTGTGGTGTAGCTGGGGGGGTCTGAACTGGTCTGGGGACCAGACCTGGACTCTTCATCACTGACAGGTGCTGCAAAATGAAAATAGCATTCATCCATCTTTCCCTCAGGGTTGCCAGGGTAATGAACTTTACAGAGAAATTCTCCAGAACCACAACCCACCATTAGGAAATGTAATTACAGGGTGTGAAGCATGCCAGGATTTCACTTTTGATTTTCTTGCTGCCAATCGAACAGTGCTTATGTAAATCATACATAAACTGCCCCCTTGCCTGAGGGATCTGTTTCACAAAAAGATAATTCAGTGGGTTTGAGTGCCTGGGCTGCTTTAGAAATGTTTGGTAGAGGATTAGGAAGGTTTTGCAGTCACTGTGGGGGTTGGTGGGGGTGAAGTTCCCACTGGGACCAGAGATTTTGAGTGTTTGATCAACAGAGCAGAATGAGATCCTCCCTCTGAAAAAGCCCAGTGTCTATCTGTGCCAATTTACCACACCTGGACTTAGCCTGGGATGAGACACTTTAGACTGGACAGAGGCTGGCATGCAAAGGCTGGGCATAACCTAAATAACTTGCACTTGGAGTTTTAAAGAGGAAGACATTTAGATTTGTGTAAGCATAGGGACCTTCTGACACAGCTTTCTGTACCAAGAAAGGCACTAATTTCCAAGGACAACAACTGTCCAGAGCATGGCTGCTTTTTACTGTGTAATTTTGCACATCCAGCTCTTTGAATTTCACTTCCAGGTAGTTTTTCATCCATAAAAAGCCAGAGTACTGACATCTATGAGTCCTCTGCAGCAGCTTAGCAAATACTTTTGCCTTTTCCATTCTCTGTTATTTGGTGGTAGAAGTTTCCAGGTGATAAAGAACAACTTCAGGGTCGTCCTGTCAGGGAGCAGTATGAGGTGGATAATTTACTCTGCACTCTGACAGTACAAGGCAGGTTTTGCAGCCTGCAGCTCACACTGGCTCTTCCTTCATTGATCCATGTGAGGGAAGAGAGAAAAGGAGGGCACCTGGGCCCCATCAAGGGCTGAAGACAAACGGCATCCAGCATCAGAACAAAGCAGAGAGCACCCAAATCTTCAGCAGACCTTGGCCCTCAGTGCAACAGGCAGTGTCCTGGATGTTCTGGCTGTGTTCAGGCACCTCCAGGATGCCTGAATGGCTGTTGTTTGGATGGTAACACTCACCCCAGGGCCTTTCAGTTTAATGGACAGGCAGTTGGTAAGAGGAACCAGGCAGCAGAACTAAGTAGCACAAGGTCTAGGGAAGAAGAAATTGAAATAAATCATGCTTTGGGACTGTGAGGATACAGGAAGAAAACAGAAGTTTGAATCCGTGCTGAAAAACAGATTCTGTGTCCTATTTTGTGGGGTTTTTTTCAGGACAGTGCTGTTTATGCACAGTCATGTCTCCTCCTCTGCAACCCTCTCTCTGCACCGTGTGCTCTCCTGCAAAACTTGTGCCTTACATATTTTTTGTCTTTTGTATCTGGCCTTGGAAAAATCAGAGATGAAAAAGAGAGATGGAAAAATCAGAGGCAGAATTTGTGTAATTTGCAGATGTTAAGGGGACATCACAAACTGTTTCTGGGAGGTTTTGCTGAGGCACAGTGAAAGGGCCTGACACTGTGGGGGCTGCAGCTCTGTGCAGAGCACAGAGTGTGGTCTGTGTCACAAGAGTGATAAGAAGAGCAGCCTCTCTGGGGAACAGGGGATTTCGGTGATGTCTGAAAGCAGCGAGGGGAAGCAGACAATGTGCTGGAGAACATACTGACTTTCTTGTCTTTGAAAGACATGTCACCTTTTATAAATATCAATGGAGACCAAGGAACAGGACACACTTTCCAAACCCTCAGTGGTTTGTGAGGCAGAAACCCCAAGAGATGCCTCGTCCTTCTCTAGATTTCAGCGTAAGAGCATGCAAAGAACTGATTTTTCCACTCTTACCACATCAAAAGCATGAAACAGAATTCACTCTTTCAGGACAGAGAAATATCTTGAATATGTGTTTTCCTGCTGAGGAGCATTTATCTCTAGTTTTTCCCCTGGTTCTCCTTTAGTCACTAAAAAACCACTAAAACTTTGGCTGTTTCCAAACTGAAAATATATGTGTTGAATGGGAAAGTTAAACCTCAATTTCCTTTCTTGTCTTTTTCTCGAATGTTACCAAAATTAGAATTGAGTTTGGCAAATAGCTGTGTGCTGCCCAAAACACATATTTAGTCAATAAATTGCACACCAGGAAAAGAAGGACAGTAAGAATTTGCACACCCTCCTCCTTCCATCCACCTTGGATGTTGCCTCCCAGGGGTCCACGGTGATGCTCCCCATTTCACGTCCTTGGTTTAAGGCAGAGACATCTGCAGTGTAGCTGTGTGAATGACCCCAGTGAGCTTCAGCTCTTGGTGTGAGTGTCTGGGGTTTGTCTCCCCATACCCAACCATAATGAGAGTGCCTAGTTTGGTTTGGTGGGCACCAATCTCAGGTATCACTTCAATTTTTGCAGGGCAAGGCTGTTCTTTGTCTTCTGACACCTTAGAGACTTCCTGTCTTTTGGAGCTCATTACTTTTGCAGAAAAAATAGCAAAGAAGCTCAGTCTACCACAGCAACAAAAATGCTTTTAACACTCCTTTTTTTTTTTACACAGGTTTTTGGCTTGTCCTCTGTGGCACAAGTGGTATTGGGAAAAGGAAACAGTGGTCAGTATCTGAGCATCAATATAGCTTTTGGCATTGGTGTTACCTTGGGCATCTATGCGGCTGGAAGAATATCTGGTGAGCAGCACTGCCAGGCGTGGGAGATGTCCATGTCCCAAAAAGGCCATGGGCACTGGGGACAGGAGGAGTGGGATGTGGAGGGGTGTCTTATGGTATGGGCAGTGGCCTCACCTAAAGAAAGCAGTCCTAGAGTCCTCAGGCAAGAAAAGCAGGCGAGGACAGGGACAAGGCATGCACAGCATACGTACAGAATACTGACCCCAAACTTGTGTTCTGAGCTGTGACAGGGCAAGTGGGGCAGGGAGAGGGGAGGAGGACTGGCCAGCCCCTTCTGTTGTGGCCAGCAGAGCCAGGTTTCAGCAGCTCCCCCATTTGGGACATGCCAACATGGCCCAAGGAGACAGGGAGCTCCCAAAACTGCTGCTGATACAATCCATGTGGAAGTAAATAATTTATTGAGAAGGAGAGCTTACTGCTGACTTGCAAAAGGAATGGTATGCAAATTTTTTCCTTATCACACATCCCCATGCACAGATGCCCCACATGAACTTGGGAAGTGGTGTTTTGGGGCCAAGCGGTAGCATCCTTCACATGACAAAAGCATTACCTTTGCCTTCTGCAATTTCTGCATTCTTTAGCACCAAGAGAAAACATTAAGGGCCCTAATGGGCAGAAAGTTAAAGCAACTCCTTGCTCTTGAACTGTTGGAATAGACAGAGGTCCAAACCTGTGGTTGCCTTGGAAAGGAAAAAATTTCCATGTAAGCAGTCAGGAGCAGTAAGCTCTTGATTTTCTTGTCTTTTTGGAGCTGGTGGAAACATCCTGGGAAAAGCAGATGGAGGAAAAGTAGGTCCTGCAGTCCCAAGTGACTTTTGAGAAGGAGCTGATCTGTTGAGGGCAGAGGGCAGTGCAGAAGGAATCTCAGCTCAGCCAGCAACAGTATGGTTATAAAACAAACTTCACACCTTCCTGACATAGTAATTTGGCTTCATCTGCTCCACAAGATACTTTTTGTAGTCTCTGAAATGGCTGGCCATACCCACAAAAGAGCAGAGGGTCTAACAAGGGACTGCCCCCATTCCAGTTGTGATTGTTGTACATGCACTTCCACTTCACTCTGTCCTGCACATTGATGAAATAATGGGTGCCTGCATCTTACCCCTTTTGGATTCTGGAGTAGAAGATGGTAATGAAGGCTGGAACATTTACTGACCCTCAAAGTTTCTATCTATCGGGCAGGAAAAAGAAATATTTTCTCTAGACTCCTGGGGATAGGAGGCCTGGACAACACATGTAGTTTGCACCATGGGCATGAGACCCAGACCCACTTAGTCTTCAAAGGCACCATTGTGATACCAACCTCCTCCACAGAAAGTCTTCCATGAAAACACAGGTCCTCATCTACCAGTAGCTACTTAAAATGTGCTGAAGTATGGCCTCTTTTTAAGCTCAGTAAGGAGAAGCTCATTGAGAAACTCATAGGGAAACTCATGCCATCCCAAGAGAGATGACATGACAGGTCATGTAATATATCTGACAGGAGAGATGACTCAGTCTCTGGAGGCAGCCTGTGGTCTATGCAATTCTCAGAAGACAAGCTAGGAGCTCTTATACCTGCATGATTCAGCTGTAGAGAGAGAAAGGATAATTTTGTGTTTTTGCAGGAATAATACCCTGACCTGAGAGAGTCTTGGTGTTCTGGGTCTGTCTGGGTGATTACTGTGGGGCATGGGGCATAGAACAACAGAATAGTTTGGGTTGGAAGGGTCCTTTTTTAAGTTTATCCAGTCCAACTACCCTGCAATGTGCAGAAACATCAACTAGAGCAGGTTGCTCAGAGCCCCGTCCAACCTGGCCTTGAGTGTTTCTAGGGATGGGGCATCCACCACGTCACATGTTCCAAACCAGCTGCATCAGTGTTGAGGCCTCTTTTTTTCTGTGATTTTGCAGGAGCTCATCTGAATGCTGCTATCACCATTACACAATGTGTTTTAGGAAACATCTCCTGGACAACGCTTGTAGCTTACATAACTGGCCAGTTCCTGGGCTCCTTTACAGCAGCAGCCACCGTCTTTGCTCTCTACTATGGTAGGGTTGTGTCTTTTACACAGAAGTTGCTGTAGGCATAATTTCAGTCAACCCACAGTGTTGTCAAAATACGTTCTTTTGCAGTACCCAGCATGAATTTGGGGTGAGGAGGGCAAACTCCTGGGTTGTGGGACAGACCACAGCTCGAGTTCAGAGCAGGTCCCAGACATACCTCTGGGAAGGATACACATCCTGGAGAACACAGCTCCTTTTACTCAGGGCAATCCCACTTCCAAGATCTGTCTTCAGCAGAAGGGCAGTTGCTGCATTTTGTCAGCATTTTGTTGCCAGGTCTGCAGGGGCTTTATTTACAGGCATTACTGTGTATTAGGTGCTGCTGGAGCTCTGGGGGGACTCTACTGCTCTGTGGAACACAGGTTTGCAGCCATTTGGGGTTTTGAGCTGTGAGCAGAGGACCCACTAGCCACTGTCTCCAGCATGTCTCTGAGGGGCAGAGGGTTGGAGGCCTCCAGTGCATCCAGACCACCCAGGCTACCCCTGGAGCAGGGATAGGGAGCTGGTAGGTGTAAGGGAGTGCAGACTAAAGTCTGTGGGTAAGATATTGGTGAGATCATGCTCTGTGAGGAGTGTGTCACCTCCATGACATCCTCCACTGCCTCCCTTCTCCCTGATGCCTGTGCTGGCTGCAGCAGGTGGACTTGTGTGTGTGTCCTGTGGGACGAAATGCTGTTCTAACTTCCATAATTCCCACTTCTCCTAGAGACTATTTATGCCTACACCAATGGGAGCTTTACAGTGACAGGACCAACTGCCACAGCGATGATCTTCTCTACGTACCCTGCTTCCAATGTATCCTTGAAGGGAGCCTTCTTCACAGAGGTCAGTGGGAATGGCTGTGGTGTGCCAGGAGAAGGTGGGCGGTTACAGGTGCTGCTGCAGGGCTGACACAGGTCCCCACAGCCCTACATGCACAGACACAGCCACAACCTGCTTTCCCAAGGAGCCCAGCATCCAGGCAGGTGTCTGTGAGGTAAGATCAAAGGCACCTTAGTGGCTCAGGAAGCCTAAAGAGTTCTGCCCAGAGCTTAATACATGTAGGCTGCTCCACAGCTTGGTCCAGGGGCCCTCCAGACACCTTCCCTGCATCCTGTTCAAGCAGTGAGAAGCTGAGCTGTATCACCAGCTATCTCTTCTGGGTTCTGGGCAGAACTGTTCCTTCCCTCATTGGATTCTACACCCTCTCCATGCTCCTCGGCAGCTGTGCTGGCTGTCCCTCCCCAGCACAGAGAGCCTGGCACTGTCTCCACATGAGCACAGCCTGGACTAGCTCTGTGTTTGAACAGATCCATTGAGACTGTTTGCAGTGCATTCCCAGCTTACAGTGCAGTGTCCAGATGCCCAGAAATGGGAAAGGGATTCTTCAGGGGATGTGGGGCACTGAGACACTAGAGAAGGCAGATTCACTTCCAATGCAAATCTTTGGAAGCCTGTGATTTGGACTCTGAGCTGACAAAACTCCTGCCTGGGTATGATGAACAGGATGGTGGAAGAGCCTAGAGGTGGGGAGTGGATGCCCTCACCCCCTGTGGACCAGTGACCTTGATGCATAAGAAAGCAAATAAGAGTGACAGCACCTTGCCAAAAGCTGCAGTTTCTGGCTTTGCTGGTGTCTGTGCAAACAGATGAAGTCTCTCCAGCTTCATTTTCTGAAGCAGAAAGAGACAGGTGTCACCACTTCTATGAAAACTATGCTTCTTGATGTCCTGGGCACTGCAAATCTACAAATGCCAGCTGTGTAGTCACTGATGGGAAATTCAGTTTCCCAGGTGAGAATCTGATATCTGCATACAGGCTGTAGAAAACACCACTTCCTCTAGGGATGATCAGGTTTGTCTCGTGAGCAGTTTGTTATGGCTCTGCTCTTATTAGACAGAATGTATTTTAAATAACCCATTTCCCTGTCTTGAAAGATAGAGAGAGATGACATTGCTGAGAAGTTTGTATCAGTCTTGGTGATTAGGTTTTTGCTGAGAAAAGAATTTTCTTCAGTCCACCTGTGAGGAGGGAGTAATATTTGGGTCCCTCCTGCCTTGACCAGACCATTAATCTCATCTGCTCTTTCATTCTGGGAAGTCTCTTCTGCTCTGCTGAGCAGGATCTTTCAACTTTCCCCATTCTCTCTCCTGACCTGTTCCTCTCCCTTTTCTGTTCCTGCAGTTTACAGCAACAGTTATGCTGATCCTGGGTATCCTAGTCATCCATGATGAGAAAAACAATGCAGCCACCAAAGGTGCTCAGCCCATGCTCACGGGTGTGCTGGTCCTGGGCATTGGCCTGGGAATGGGGCTGAACACAGGCTATGCCATAAACCCCTCCAGGGATCTGCCCCCCCGGATCTTCACGGCAATCGCTGGCTGGGGAACGGCCGTCTTCACGTGAGTGACTGGTTGTGCTCTTTTTACTCTGCTCAGCTTGCCAGGGGAGGAGATAAGTACAAGATAAAATGTGCCATGAAGCCTATTTGTCTTCACGTGAGTGACTGGTTTTGCTCTTTTTACAAGATAAAATGTGCCATGAAGCCTATTTTCTTTGGACCAAGTGATGGTATCACTGCAGAGCGTGAGGGTTGTACCTACATGAGTCTTGTGCATTATGTACACAAAATTTGGAGTACACTGATTCTCTGGCATGGGATTCACCTTGACACTCGGATACCTCAGTTTGGGCACCAAACTGTCTGCCTGTTCACTGGAGATCCAGCTGGTTTTTGCAGGGAGCAGAGAGCCAGAATGCAGCTCACCTAAACGTGGGTGGATTGCTGAACAGGTCTCCTAAATTCAGAGTCTGAATTTGGACATGAAACCTTGCCTTCATCTATCTAGTAAGATGGTGTAATATTATGGCTATGGGGAAATCATTACCAGAGTCCTGGATGCCCACTTTCCTTAAATTCCCAGAAAATATATTCAAGAGCTCAGTAGAGGAGTCACAGATTTTACTGGAAACAGGGAGGCAAAATGCCTATGTCTGTCTGAGAGTCCCACTCATCAAGACCACACAGCCCATTTCTTTTGGAGAACAAAAAACCTGCAGTGTGGAGCCACCTTTCCATGCTGATGGGGAAAATGACCTTCCCTCCAGCAGTTATGTGGGGGGGACAGTGAATTTATCTAAGCCAATTGTAGGCTTAGTGCCTGGAGTGGAACAGACTCCTCTGCTCACACAGCTCAGTCCTGCTCATCCTGCAGGATGTGGTGGCAGGGCAGTGGTTCCAGTCTGGCTCACCAGCTGCCTCTTCTGTGTTTCATTTTAGGGCTCATCATTCCTGGTGGTGGATCCCAGTCACAGCTCCAATTCTGGGGAGTCTTTTTGGTGTTCTAGTCTACAAACTCTGCATTGATTTTCACAACCAGCCTGGCCATGAAACTGAACATGAGAAAGAACAGGCAGACATGGAGACTTCCAGACTGTGACGACCATGTGCTCGGATGACACATGTGAAGAGCACATCTGTTTGTCCACCACGCTGGTGGACAGATGAGGGACTAGATTTCAGTAAACCTACTCTGGTTAAACAGACAAACTTGGTATCTGAGATATTGAGAAGATCTGTGGAGGGCTAGACCTGGCTGTGACCTGAAGGAATTATTCAATCTCTCTGTGTAAAAATATACCAAAAAAAACCTATCCAAAAACACACAAACAAACAAACAAAAAAAAACAAAACAAAAAAAAACCCAAAAAAAACCCGAAACCAAAAAAGAACCCTTGATCATCATAATCTGAAGAAAAGCAAAGCAGAGCTACAAGTTTCCAGGTACACATATATTCATATAAATCAAAATACAGGCATCAACAGTGGCAGATACAACATGATTAAGTCAATTAACATATAAATTTTGATCTGGAATATTCTTTGGTAAGAGGCAGATACTACAGTGATGGATCAGGGGCCTAGGCTTGTTTTATTTGCATATCTGTCATCCTAACAAACACCTAGTTTGGAAGAGCACAGAAGAGAGAAGAACAAGAGCAGTCTAAAATAGAAACATGAACCTGTTGAGTTGTTTGGGGTTTTTTGTGCTTGTTTATTATTTTTTTTGGGTGTTTCTGATCTGAACATTCAGGAAGCATTAAAAAATTACTAAAGCAAACTACAGTCTCCTGAATCCTGCCACAGTTCTGCTGGAACATGCTGAGAGCAAAGAACCATGTATGTACTGACATTCTAGACTTCAGCTACACCAACTACTACCACAGGAAAGAAGTCAGAGAACTGTGACAGGGTCTCCAAAAACTTGAACAAACTGCTCCCCCTCCTTTTTTCTATCCTGAATGCATGAGAAATGTAAGACCATGCCCTGCTACTGCAGGAATTCTGCTAGTTTCATCTGAATGAGGAAGTGGGCCTGCAACAGCCTTACAAGCTTGAGGTGTCACTGGGTTAGAGGCAGAACACAATCAGAAGCTGCCTGTTCCCAGGAGGGTGACAATGGTCTCAACTTTTCTAGGAAGTGCTTAAGCAAGTATGGCATGTATGTCAAGCACATAACTGGGTGCCATGAATAAACAACACAGTTCTCCAGAACAGGAAGTGACAGAACATCACTACTGCACAGAATTCCAGAAAAGGGCATTTTGCTGGATTTAATGGTCATTTCCACCCCGATATTAAAAGCATAACTGAGGTATTGCTATGGGCTGGGGTGGGGTAGGGTGGGAAGTACTGACATGTGTGCTTTCTCATTAGGGCTCACTTCATGTCAGTAAGAGCAGCTGCAACAGATCTGCACCTGTCTCAAGATGCACATGGGCTTGAGAGGGTGCACCAGAGGATTTCTTGTCATCTGGGGGTGGCAGAGAAGGGCAATGCAGCAATGGCATTTGAAGGTGGGCCTTTGGCAGTGCTGGGAGAAGCAAAATGTACATGAGCATGGGCTGGTGGCTGCAGAGATTTTGCACAGTGACTGCAGGCCAGAAGTAGAACAGCTGCCACAAAGTTCAGTCTTCTGGCCTGTGTGAAATAAACTGGGAATTTCTGAGTAGCTCAAGAAGGATAAGCTAAAAGCACTGTAACCCATCCCTTCTCAGGGAGAGATTCTCTAATGCCTTGAAGAAGCACCTCAAACAATCCATCCTGAACACTGCTCTTGCCTTTGCACCCCATGTCCAAGTGCTCTCCAAAGCACCTTCAAATACCCAATCATTTTGGAGGAAAATACTCAAATATTTATTAAAATACAATTAAGCACTTACAGGATGGCTTCATCTTTCTGAAGGCCATACACATACTCATGAAAGCCTCACAACATCCCTGTGAGGTAGGTTTGTCTTGTGTAATTATGTGGTAGTTATTCAAAAATTAGAGATGATGCTGTTTAAATAGTCAATGCTTGAAAACAGTGATTTTGATTTCCACATTCAGTCACAAAATGTGTTGGGTGCTGCCATGATTCCAGTGTATTTGGAAGACAAAATAGCATAGAAAAGTAATAGAAACAAACAGGAGTAACTGAAAACCAGCAGTAAATGGGTTAAAGTGCAGTTCTAGTCTGAAAACTTACAGTACAAAAAACAGCATCAGGGGCTTCTAAGGCTGTAGGAACTCAGTGGCCCCTGGTGAGATCCTGCCCAACTGCAAAGTGTCTGTTTCAATGGTCAGCTTTGCAAATGAATGTGTGACAAACCAAGAAGTCCTCCTGGCTGACGGGACTCAACACCATTGACTCTCTGCTCAGCAGTTCCCACAAAGGGAAGCAACAAAGGATTGCTGCTTCTGGCTTCAGGATTACGGCAAATCATGTCACCATTTGAAAAGATACAGCACTGTCTTGGTTTGAAAAGACAGGTGTCTGCTAAGGAAGGCAAGAGCGTCCCCTGAACAGGAAACTGTAAAAGCCCTCCCTCTGAATTGTTACAAATTTGAAATTAAGGGGGGCTCTCAGGCAAAGATATGGGAGCAGGAATAACAGTTCTTTATTAGGGAAGAAAATAAATATAAAATAATGCAGTAATACAAAACAACACTGAGAGAGTCAGCATACAACCTGACACCCCGTTGATGAGGGTGTTGGTAGCAGTCCAATTGGAATGGTTGCTGCAGTCCTCCTGGAGCAGCAGGTGTGGTTCTGCTGGAGCAGGGATCCTGTAGAAGGGTGTAGTCTTTCTTTGAAGATCCAGTGGAAAAGGCAGCTGCTCTTCCGGGAATACAGTGGAAAGGCTGTTCTGGTGTCCCAAAATCTTAGATTATATCAAGTTAGGAATGTTTGGCTCCTCCCCCTGGGTGGAGCATCTCACAATGGGATGCTGTAATTTTATCAGTCATACAGTGAAACTCAAGAACCCATTAACAGCAGATTAATCATCCTGGAGGGAGGACTGCAGTTTGGAAGAGACAAAGAAAACTGCCCAATTAACACGTGGGGGGATAGAATACAAGAAAATAAAGATAGTGCAGAAAGTAATCTCACCCCTAAGGAGTTGCAGCTGGGCCAATTTACCAAAGATTAGGAACAGGCCTGACTTTAACAGGCCACAGCAGTGACCAGTGAGAAGAAGAGTGCTATAAAAGAGTGGGTTGGCTGGTGGAGAGGAATTGGAGTCACTTGGCTACTTTGTGAGGAAGAAAGAGTCAGTGCTCTGAGGAGCTGCCTACGAGAAAACACCAAGAAGGAATGAGACTTTTGTGATAAGGAGACAACAGTATGGAACTTTTGCAATATGATGACAACAATAACAGAAGATAACTGCCACACCTCTAACAGATAGCAAATAGAATACATGTACTGCCTTGCAATCTAGGACAACCACAAAGGCCAAAAAGAGGTCTGGGCTGCAGAGTGAGTGGCTAGGCTAATGCAGACACATGGAAGTCACAAGTCCCATTGTACCATGAATCTCAGAGCAGAAGCTGGATGAAGCACAGGGAAGTGCAGAGTCTGATTCTATCTGGAGTGAAAGACACTTCTGTGTTCAGTGGATTGCAGCCTGCTCCCACAGCATGCAAGGTCAGGACAGTTTTCTTTCAAAGGACGTGGCAGAAACATCTTCACACCCTCTACTTCAACATGGGTCTGGTTAAAGTTACAGTGAATTACATTTGCTTTCATTTCACTGTTGCAGTTGTAAAGGAACAAAAGCTTCTCTGTGCAGCACTGACATCTAAGGTTTCTTCGTGTCCTCTGGAAAGCACATGCTGCAGGCAGCAGAAGGGAATAAAATTGATGTATCCATTTTTTTTTTGGGATCCTCCAGGAACTACATCACATCGTGGCTATATTTCATGCAAGTGCTGCAATGTGCTTCCCATGGGCACATCTATTCATGCACAAGGAACTTGGTCTGAACCACAGACACTCTGCAGCAGAAAACATCAAAGCTTATTGCAAATGTTGTCCAGGGTCAGATCTGGTGGGCTCACTTCCTTGAAGAATTCCCAGCTAGTGAGGATGTCTTGGCAGAGGTCATGCTTGTTTGACTCTTTTGGGAGCCTGGTGGCTGTGAAGGTTGTTTTTTCTTGAGCACTGGAGTTTTGTTCTTGCTTTTAAATACCTTATTGGGGTCCAGCTTGTTCACAAAGGAATCAGCTTCTTCAGACAGGAGTGCTGTGTTGATGGTTATGGGTTTATACATGTTAAACCATTGCTGAAAGGCAGCATGGTGGGGAAGAAACAGGTTAAATTCAAGCTGCAGTTAAACAATTCCACTTTGCTCCCCATCTTCCCCAAGACTTGATCTTAATCCTATGCCACTTATCAGTTTGCAGTTCATAGGACTTGGAAGAGTGCTTGTGATAAGGATACACAAGGCACAGCTACAGCCCCAGTCCTGGAACTGCATTCCAGATAGGGAAGAGAACCAGACACAATCCTAACACCACCTTTCCTGCAGTGTAACTCCTATCAAGAGCAAATCCTGATTTACACCACAGGAAAAGCAGGAGGAGGGGATGAAACGAAATGACATTTATTTAAATTCAGATAAGCAGAAAGGATTAAAAAAACTTTTGGAATTTAAATGTGCTTATAAACTGAAAACCAACTAGTTGGATTTGTCAAAATATAACCTTCCTTCCCCTTTCATACGTAAAATAGTGAATTTTTTTAAACTCCTTACACAAAGTTTTGTTTGTTTGTCTTATTGTTTCTGTTTCTGATTTTCTATTTTTCCATTAACAAAGTTAGGAAATAAAACTATAGTACTTATGGTATTACAAATCAAAATGAAACCATCAGCAAAGTGTTGAGCAGGACACAGAGAAGTTCAACACCAAAATATAGATAATCATCTATTAATGTACTGCTTAGTGGAAAACAGCTTTAATATTCCCCCTTGGAAACTTTTAAAATGATAATGGTTAACAAACTAGGAGGATTTTAACCAACAGGGGCTGCAAATGATTAGGGAATATATGAATGGTTCCTCTTAAGGTTTGCAAATATACTGAACATAATAACATATTTATAGCAGGAATGTTACAGAAAGGCAGAGCACAGTGCCATGTTCATAGCCTTGACTGATAAAATCCAGTGCAGTGTAACAGGGAAGGCATCAGGAATGGAAAAAAACCCAAATTCTAGAGCCACTGTTTGATGGGAAGTCAGGAGTGATTTTAGCAATTCTGATGTGCACACAAGACCAGGGAATCTCAAGCTGGTAAGACAGCTGATGTGACTGGGTGAAGTGCAGGACACACCAGTCCCAACAGGCCTTGCCAAGGTGCACAGACACTGTGCTGGCTTATGAGCTGTGTACAGTAGGATCATCAGCTCCATTCCCTGATCTCTCACAAGATGGAGGCAGGGATAGGGCTGAAGGCCCAGTCAAACACAGAAGAACAGCAGAAGCCTCTAACAACAGGATTTTGGCATAGCAGAATAGTAATTTTAATAATAATAAGTGATTGGAATGCTCACAAGGGTTTATGTAGAGGTCTTCTGTAACTACCTCTAGGACTTGAAATTGCCCTTTTTTTGGGCATAATTTTTATCAAGACCCAACTTCTGAGAGAAAATTAGGGTTAACACAATATTAGTGAATTCAAATTACTGTGAAACATACTACTGTTAACATGTTACAAGGGAAAAACTTGTGGTCCATTCTGTGGCTCAGAAGGGAGGCCGAGCTGACAGAAGCTTGCCAAAAGGTGAGAAGATGTTTTTGCAGTCTGTACTTATGCAAAAATACTGACAGGCTGGACTCTGCTGTCCTACCTTGGCCTGGGGGCTGACCCCATAGCTGGTGAAGGCATACTGCCACTGTGGCAGACCCAGGTGGGTGATGAGCAGGCGGTAGTAGGCCGTGAAGGTTTTGGTCAGGAAATGCCAATACAGAGCTCTGTCCAGGAACCAGATCTCTGTGTCTTGGGAGACCACTAGAATAAAACAAGCACAAATTACACTGTTGCTTTGCAGTATTAAGATTAACCCCTGGCCATTGTCAGGTGGGAGACACAACACACTCATCAGAAGGGCTGTTTTATGTACCTCTAGGCTTGTTCCAGCCCAGGTGCAGAATCCAGAACTTCTCTTTGTTAAACTTTATATGGTTGGTGGTTTCACATCTCTCTTATTTGTTGAGGTCACTTTGCAGGGGCTTCGAGGGAGACATCAACACCTCCCAGTTTACTATAATGGAGAAACAATACTGCTTCCAGTCCTGTGTCCAAGCTGTTCATGAAGATACTGAAGAGCACCGGGCCCAAGATGGAGCCCTGCAGGACCCCACAGTGACCAGCTGTCAGCCTGATGTGATGACTCTTTACTATTTAGCCCTATTTACTATAAGCTTTTGTGTCCTACCCATCATCCAGTGTTCACCCACTGCACGGGGTATTTGACAAGCTGTGTGCTGGACAAGGAATGCAATGCTGTTCCTTCACAACCTGGGAGTGACATGCTACATGGAACATTCTTGGACATCAGCAACTTTGTAGTATATGTTCAAAGTACAATTATGGCAAACATTTATCCACCCCACAAAGTAAAAAGCAACTAACTCAATTGTCAGTGATCTGGATTACTGAATAGAGTCCAGAGTCTGGAAGTCACAGTAGTATGTGCTGCCAACAAAAACACATTTTGCAAAATCTTTCCACAGTGATCAAATATTTCTCTGATGGTGACACCCTTTGTAGCATAAAAAGGTTTTTTTCTTTTTCAAGGGAGATTGAGATGGTGAACACTGTCATTTAAACAGACTGTCCCTGTGTTGACATTGATACCTGTAACCAATGCTCCCTTCCCTTGCCCAGGTTATCCACTGCATGTGCTGAAATCACTAATACGGTGAGGCAAGAGGACAAGAACTTCCTGCCATGGCATTTGTGGTCACACACAATGAAAGGCACAAGATAATAACGCAAGATTTTTCTTAAGAATCTGTATATTGCAACTGCACAACCCTACACAGTAAACACACATACATCTAGTGACCTGTGGACTGTGTCAGATGACACCTATTTTACAAGTGCCTTAGGTGTTTCACTACTCTCTCACTGGTAACAGTTACCTCTGTATCTGTCAGAACAAACAGCTCAGCTCCCGTTTGTTTCTCACCTTCCCATTAACCCTTCCTGCCACATTTTGGCCAAGTTAGGCACCTGGAGACCCAGCATCCGTGCACAAAATGGAAGACCCAGTCTAATTCTGTCTCAGCTTTTTTACCATCTGACTTTGTTTCTAAGCAGTCATACCCTTTCTCATCAAAATGTAACAGCTTTGTTCCAAGACATGCAAGTAACCAGACTAGTGGAGCTCTCTATTATTTCAACTCAATTGTCTGTAGGTTACAAGTGAATACTGCCCTGTTTCTATGCATGCAGAAATCATAAGCTATAACTCAGACTCCAACACCAAAAGGAGTGAAAATGTTAGATCTAGTTAAGATTTAGCTCCTGACTTCAGTGGAGACCGAAGGACATCGCAGTAAAAGTTTCACTTACAAATGGCAAAGAAGATCAGAAATACAAGATAACTCTCCATATGTGGCCTCCAGATACAATCCACAACAAGAGATAGATAACTTTCCTTTTTTCAGTCTTACCTGGTTCAGCATGCTTATAAACAAGACACACTTTCCCATTCCCATTGCATGGGTCTAATTCAAAGACAAGACTACGAGAATCAAAGTGTGGCTTCTCTGGTTTGTCTCCATTACCTGAAACCAAGGAAAAATTTATGAAACATGTTTGGAAAACTGACTGTGACTCAGTTGCAAAGAGTCTATCTGTTTTATACATTAATAAATCAGCTGATGAAGAACTGAATCAAACTATTACATTTATACTTCTTGGAAATTATTAAGTTCCTGATGTTTAAAATAAAACCAAGCAAAAACACCCAAAAAAGTGAGAAAAATTTTAATCTCTGTTAGGAAAACAAACACAGAGTCAAAATTAGATGGCTGAAAATAGATAAGCTGACTTCTATTTCCTCCCTGGCATGAAGAGAGTCAAGGTTTACAGATGTCACCCCTGAGGTTTGTCTAATCTTTTGTTAAAGTTCTCCAGTGTTAGAGAAGGCACAGGCATAATCTCTAAGTACTCAACCCAAATCCATCACTTATCACTTACAAGTTTTCCTCATGGATCCTGAATCTTCCCTGCTACAATTGAAGCCCATTATTTCTGTTGTATATATGATTCCTTTTTTTTTGGTCCTGATTTATTTTTTTCTAAGGAGGACAGGAAGAACAATTTAGTCTTTTTCTCTTGGGACAAGACTTCAATGAAATTGCAGATATATATATTTCTCCATACATTCCAGTGCGACATGAGCTTCCTTCTCAACAACCACATTTGACTCTTATTCAACCTGAGACCCTCAACCATCACTGAACATTTCTAGGACTGCAGCCAAACTGGAACGTCAAAACTACTTTAAACCACATTTAGAAGCTGGAAGAGCTTATAGAGGTGTAGAGACAAGACTGAAATCAAATAGCATTCTTTTAAGAAATTGGTTTGACACCTGGCTGTGTTCTTATCCTCTTGATTTTTTCAGTTGGATATGAGAGCTCTGACAAAATGAGTGGGCTTTCTTTTTCTTTTTTAGTCTCTCCAAATAGCAGCATTCCCAGCATTTTTAGGCAGGGTAGCCTCATAGTTATATGTACATATACCAGTTACTTTTCCAATTCCAGCTGTCTTCACTACCAAAACAAAACCTGTTATCTTTTGTTCATTGAACACCTTAAGCACACAAAGATTTTGGAAACTGAATCACTGGAGCAAGGCTCAGGTGAAAGTTTAAACAGGGAAAGGCTGTTAAAAGAGGATGCAAATAACACTAATCCCCACGACATTCACATCATACAGACCTACCTGCCAAGGCTGTAGGGAACTAATCAGACACATAATAGATCCTGCCCAGGAGACAGAAAGTCACAGAATCACAGAATGGTTTGGGATGGAAATGGATCTTGAAGATCATCTTGCTCCAACTGCCCTGACATGGACAGGGACACCCTTCTGTAAACCAGGCTGCTAGACCAAGTAATCCCCATCTAGCTGGAGTGACCTTTTCTGTTGCTGTATTGTAGAATGGAAGGGCCATTAAAGATCTTTTTGTTCCAATTTGCCTGCCACGGGGGATAGGTGAGGTGCTAAGATATTGGATTTGTTCAGCCTGGAAAAGAGAAGGCTTCAGGGTGACCTAACTGTGGCCTTCCAGTACTTGGAAGGGAGCCTACAAGAAAGATGGAGAGGGACTTTTTACAAGGATATTTAGTGACAGAATAAGAGGGAGTGGCTTCACACTGACAGAAGGCAGATTTACATTAGATATCGGAAAAAATTCTTTACTGTGAGGGTGATGAGGCGCTGGCATAGGCTGCCCAGAGAAACTGTGGATGCCCCAACCCTGGAAGTGTATAAGGCTATGCTGGAGGGAGCTCTGAGCAACCTGGGGGAAAGTGTTTGGTCCACGCATCTTGTGCTGTATTCTAACATTAACAGAACAAAAGGGATGAGACAGAGCAGGTTTTCTAGCCTGTTAACTGTGCCTTACCTTCCTCGTCTGTGTCATCTTCCAGGTCAGCAAGAGTTGGAGCACTAGGCAGAGTGTACATAGAGGAACCCCCAAGCCTACACAGCTTGGAGACACTGTTAATCACCATGGAGCCCAGGGGCATCGGGGTATCTGCAACAAAACCAATCACTAATCACATCCAGTGTCAAGAAGTCATGGGAGGCATTTATTTTCCTCCAAATATCAACCTCTGTGAGGTGAAGAATCATTACACCCAAAAGATTTGGACATTTAACTTAAGTAAGACTCTACAAGAGTAAAAATGAGGCTTTTTCAAATACAGACTTCCACTTACATGTGATGCAAAACCATCTCAGAGCTGTAAAGGTATGGGAATTACACTTTTGGCAAGGACTGTCCTGCAGCTGTCAGCTTAGTCCTGTGAAAAATTAAAAATCCTGGCTACGTGATTTCAGCTACAGCCTCTTCCTCAAAGCTTCTTTCCCTGCTACTGCCCTTCCTATCAGAAACCACACCACACATGCACAGCTTTCTGGGAAGCTTGTCCTCTTCCACTCCATGTATGTTTAGGGTACATCCTCCTGGTTCCCATCTCCACAGAGGACTTTATCAGTGCATCAACATTCCTGAAAGAATCCTACAGGACTCATCCATGTTTCTGAGGACTCACAATGCTACCAGACATCAAGGCAGCAAGCACCCTGTTCAGCCACGTGCCAGTGTGAAGGGTCTCAGAAGGCACTGCTGGATGTTTGCTCAAACAAGATAGTTGTACCAGCAGCCTTGGTCTCTGTGCACTTGTGAACCCTGAAAACAAGACTCCTCAGAGGTCATTAGTCCCACTTGAAACATGATCAAAGTCATGCAGGTGCTAAGGCACTGATGTGAACTGTCTCTGAAATGCCATTTACTTCCTGAGGAAGACTCTGCATTAGACACCCATGTCCAGAAGTGAGCGGGGTCCACATCCCGATTGGAGAACCCTGCCTGAAGGCAATGAGAGCCAGGATAACATCTGCGGAGTAAGCAAACTACCTGATTTTTGCCAAACAAAAGCTTGGACTTTAGATGGTGGAAAGCAGAATTGGGCTCCAATGTGTACATACACATTTTATCAGAGGGTGACTCTTCCGACTTATTTATGATGGGATACTGAGCTACAGCTGTTTCTCTCTACATGAACTACATACAGAGAGAGTCGGGTATGAGGTTTAAATGACACACCTAAATCTGAGTGTCAACAGTTGTCAGTGTATTACAGGGCAGAATTTATGTCATGAATAATTAGTTTCTTCCCAGAAAGAAAGAGTGTATGCACCTCCTCTGTGGGATGCCAGAACATGCAAGCAATAGATTTTGCCCTGAGAGATGTGTATTGATTGTGCAGAAAGTAAGTTTGAAATTAAAGAGGTTCTGCAAAGGAAGGGCTGGTTGCAATGAATTGAGCTTGTCAGTGGAGGAGAACACAGGGACTCACCATCAGTCTTCACACTCCAGGTCATCTGGAAGCCATCGGTCATCAGATAGAAATTCTTTAAATCCTCAGGTAATACACAGGAGTTTTTCTGCAAATTACAATCAAAGTGTAATGGGAAAATGCAGAACATGCCTCAAACCCTGAGAACAACTGAAAACTGGTACAGAAATATTTGCCACCAAGTTTCTTGCTTAATTCCAAGGTGACTCAAATCAGTTCAAATATCTCATTCTAAAGCCTTGAGAAACAAACTGCGTATTTCTTGGGACTCTACTAGTCTTAACAAAGGTAGCTTGGGCAAATTTCACAATTAACAACTGTCATCACAAAACTATTACAGCATTGTTCCCAAACTGAGATACTGTATTACCTTTTGAGATTAGCAGCCACTGCAAACTCACATAAATCAGAACAATCAGCTTTTTCACATATATGGTTTAAAAGAGTAGGGTTTTCCTTTAAGTGAAATCAGATTATACTTGCCAATTCCACTAAAGCATGTACAATATTAGCACAATGACTCTCTTCTTCTGAGGGATTTCAGCTCCAAGGAGGTGTAAGAAGCACAGACTCAAAAGCTGCACATACTCAAGTAGATCTGATGTTTCACTTAACAAAGTATGTGTGCAAGCACATGCAAAGCCAGACTCACAAATCTGCTGATCTGGCTTCATCCCTCTAAACTTCAGTGAATGGCTGTGGCTCCTAAGCCTGCTTCCTTTTGAGCCACCAGTGAAAGAGGCAACCCCAGTGAGCTCAAGTTTCTAGGAACCAGAAAACTTCTCTTATACCTGTGCTGGTTGTGGAAGGTGTCGTTCTTAACTTAGACTCTTCAGTTAAGCTGCAAATACAAGGATGGAAGGATAAAGGCTTAATCCTCAGAACAAAAAGAAGCCCAAAGAACTATAGGCATTTCTAGACCCTGCTCCTGGGGACAGGACTGGCTGCAGACCAGTGACCCTCAGCTCTTGCTGAAGTGTCAAGTACATAAAATTAAAAGAATGGAAGCCGCCAGTTTTAATAACACAAGCAAAAACCACGACTAAAGGAGTTACCTGGTGGTCTGTTTGTAACTGTTTTAGAGAAAAAAACAGATTGACTTCAGTCAGGTCAAATTTGAAATAGTCACATTCAGGACTCCAAAAGAATCAGACCTCAAAACTCAGGAGAGTGTCCTGTGATGGAGGTTCCACAATCTGTGTATGCTGACTTGCCCAAGGGCTGCACTACTCTTATTTGTTTCATTAAATAAAGAGAGAATATTCTAGTAAACAGTAGTTAAAGAATAGGAAGATGCACATGCAGTTCAAATATCTCTGCTTCACTTGGGGCATGCATTAGTTAACATTTTAAGAGAAGAGAGATGTATCTATCCAACAAGAGCAACCTGCCAGCTGTGAATCCAGCTGCAATGTTGGCCTCTAGTCATCAGCTGCTGGGGAAGGGAAGGTGCTGGTCTCATCCTGTTCACATGTCCTCCCTCCCCTAGGACCCGAACAGCCTTTCTGCCTGTTAAAGCCTTATTCACAGACATTTTCTTTGGGTTGCTACTGTCTCTGTCTCCTAAACTGGGGTGTACATACTGTGTAGAAGCACCTAATCTGCCAACAGTCTTGTGCTTGTTAATTTACTTTTAAAGCACATGCATTAATGTTGATTGACTGCTACTGACGAGTCCCAGACACTAATGGCTTTGCAGCTTGCAATAGGGCAGGTCACTTTACTTGCTTCATCAAGCACCCTGGCCACTAGCTCAGAGCTTTCTTAATCAAGATAGAGAAAATCTTCAGGGTCCACAGGCCTTAAAGCAGATAACTCTGCAGACACTGCAGAGGCTGTTTTGAGAAGAATTTACCATCCTGCGACAAGAGTCTGCTGATGGCTGAGGACCTGGTGGTAAGTTTAAGGTAGTCAGTAAACCACATGGACATATCTGAAGTTCTTCAAATGCCTTTAACCAACACACCTTTTTCTGTGGTTCTCCTCAGTCCTAAATATTTATAATTTCGTGCTGTGCTTTCATCACTTCCAGTTTCAAGGTGTACCTGTAAGCACAGTGACTATGGCTAAAACTATGAAGAAAGAAAGTATTACAGACCTGCTACAAAGCCTCAGCAGAGTACAAAAGTTAACATAACTTTGACTACATTTCAAATCCCCCAATTCAAACTAATTCATTGCAGCAGTAAAAACACATCTGTGAATGGGTCACCCAGCTTCAGTGGGTGTTCTTCTCCAAGCAGGAGAACCAGACCCACTAGGACGACAAAATCTAAAGTTTTAAAACTTCCACTGTAGTATCCACATAAATCCTGCTACAACTCAGGCACCGTCCAATTTAGCAAATAACAGCTAAGACAAGAGAAAAATCACATCTGAATAGGTTTTATGCTCTGAATCCTCCTTTTGAAAAAGATCAGCATGTGCATGTTTCTTCAGCTGGCCGCTCTCTGAATTTATTTCAGGATTCTCTAAACCACACTGCTGCAAAATATATGGGTAGAAAATGCAGTACCAGAGCAGGTCTGAGGTCTATAGAAAAAGGCCTGTAAATAAAAAACTTCATTAACAGCCATTTCTCTCATCTGATGGAAAGGACTGACTGATCTGTCATATCGTCAGCTTAGTCACATGAGAGTACAACATCAGAACAGTAATCTTCTGACAGCAGTCACAGCAACACGACACTATATACAAAAAATGGCTTATCAAACTCTGTGTTCTTCTTGCTCAACTGGTAGTTGTCAGGATTGTGTTCTCCAGTCCCATAAAAGACACTGTTTCTAAATAACATGTCAGACTTGGCTTAACCACAGCCCTGGCAAGCAGCTGTTTTCATTTCAGTTATCTGGTTACACTCATCAGCTCATAAAACAAAATATCCTAAGTTCTTAATATGGTGTGAGAGGTCTATTCCTTTTCTTTGTTCTATGTAATATCTCAAAATAGTCTCCCAAGAAAGCACAGTCCATTGAGTACAGAGGAAAATATGAGAATCCCATTTTTGAGGCCAGGACCCAATTAGAAAATGGATCCAAAGCTAAGAACCCTGATACACAGCAATTCACTTGAAACACTTGAAACAATGTCTCTCAAGCAGATACACTAAAGAAACAGAAAGCAATCAAAACATACAGCTCTAGAGAGACTCCTCTAAAAACTTGAGTAAGTTTTACCCAACTTCTGGGGAGAGAAGGAAGGCATTCATGTCACTTCTAGAGCTTCCAAGAAATAGACCACATCAGCAGCCACCCTTTTCTCTCCTTAATGTCTTGCAGTTTTATTGTTGGTTTGTCCTAGCTGTCAGTGAATATTGACGTTAATTTATGTAACATATTGAAATGTTCTTGCACCTTTAATAAATCTGACCTGGGGAGCTCCCAGGAGATCACCTTGATCCCCTGCTGCAGAGAACAGGATTTCAAAGTTCTCTTGAGGATATTGTTGTGCAGCCAGTTTTTCAATATGTTATAAAGCTTAACAAGAGGGGGAGCACTCTGTAAGAAACACTATTTACCTGCCAGAAGTCCTCCAGCCTGTTCCCCATCATGCAGCTTGAAGAAACACAGCTTCCCTCATGCACTGGCCCTGCTGGATCCATTTCCCCATCTCTCCCACAGTCACAGCCACAAGGCAGGCTCAAGGTGGGTAGGTCCTGTGCTCATGGGGATCAAGGATGGGAGGCTTGGCAAATATTAAGGGAGGGCAAGAAGGATGCCAAGAAGGACTGTTGAAGGTGTGCACCCTGCATGCATATTTGGACTCAAAAAGAGATGCTGTAGAAGCAAGGATGATGACATTCCAGACGTGTGCTAGAAATACTATGCAGTAGAGAGGGAGCAACTCAGAAGGTTCCTGGATGGTGTGTAAGGGTTCAAATGAGGAACCAGGAAACTACAGGCCTGTCAGCCTGAGCTCAGGAGATCTTCTTGAGTGCCCATCATATGGCACCTACAGGAGATCCAGGGCTTCAGGCCCAGCCAGCATGGGTTTGTCAAAGGCATATCTGCCTGACCCAATCTCCTTCTGTAACACAGTGACCCTCTTAGTGGACAGGGGAAAGTCCAGGGATGTTGACTTCCTCCTGGACTTTAGAAAACTCTTTAACACTGTAACCCATAGAATTCTCCTGGAGACACCAGCTGCTTGTGGCTTAGATGCTCCATTCTTCGAGTTAAAAACTGGCTGCTGGCCTGGCCCAGAGAGTGCTGGTGAATGGAATTACTTGCAGAGGCAGCTGGTCACTGGTGGTGTCCCCCAGGGCTCTGTACTGGAGACTCTGTACTGTGCTGGTTTTTATCTTTATTGATGATCTGAGTGAGGGCATCAAGAGCTCCTGTGGTCAGTTTGAGGACAAGGCCAAGCTGGGTGTGAGTGCTGAGCTGCTGGAGGGCAGGGGCTCTGCAGAGGGATCTGCACAGGCTGGGTCTCAAGTACCTCTGTGTCCCTCTAACAAAAATGCAATTTTCTATTTTTTGAAAATCAAAACAGTGATGTGACTAATTTTTCTTCCAGCTGACACAAAAAAGAAAGTGTGATTCATACACTGCACCAGAGTGCCTCCTAGCAGTATTGGAGTGTAACACCTATTTCTAAAAATTGCATGTGGAGGAGAGTAGGGCCATTGCCAGCCTAATTTTAGGAGTGGGAAAGGTTTCTAAGGTTGATATAGTTATTAGCACTTGTTTTCTGGTGACCAGGTGACTCTGTCTCTACTCCCTCTTGTAATTCTTGTCTCTCTACCTTGGGGAAAAGTTAACATCTTAGTAGGTTTAAATATGAGGAAATATTGAAAAATCTGGTTTTATTAAAATATAACGAACTGCCTACAATTTTAGGGGAAGTGATGCTTTACCCATGTAAGTACACTTGGCAATCCTTAAACATTTTTGTGCATGTGCTGATTTCTCATAAATTCTTCAGGAGTGATTTCCAGCTTGATTTCCTGACATGTAACATTTAACAGCTCTTTCTGCACTGGAAAAAAATCTCTTCTCTCCTACAGCCTTACTGCACTAACTCCTGTCGTGAAGCTCAGCTTCCCCTGCAAAGCTTCATGGCAGCTAAGGGACATTCAAGAAGCTTAAGATTTTAAAGATTATTTTAATCCCAGCAAGGTGAGATTTTAAAACACAGCAGTATCCAGTTATATAGCAGCACAAACACGGCACAGCACAATTTAAAAAACATCTTAGTAGGTTTAAATATGAGGAAATATTGAAAAATCTGGTTTTATTAAAATATAACGAACTGCCTACAATTTTAGGGGAAGTGATGCTTTACCCATGTAAGTACACTTGGCAATCCTTAAACATTTTTGTGCATGTGCTGATTTCTCATAAATTCTTCAGGAGTGATTTTCAGCTTGATTTCCTGACATGTAACACTTAGCAGCTCTTTCTGCACTGGAAAAAATCTCTTCTCTCCTACAGCCTTACTGCACTAACTCCGGTCATGAAGCTCAGCTTCCCCTGCAAAACTTCATGGCAGCTAAGGGACATTCAACAAGCTTAAGATTTTAAAGATTATTTTAATCCCAGCAAGGTGAGATTTTAAAACACAGCAGTATCCAGTTATATAGCAGCACAAACACGGCACAGCACAATTTAAAAAACTGATGGAAACAAAAAATGCATATACCCAGCATGAGTAAAATAATATGTTAATTAATAATTTTTAAAAGGTTGATTTTCTCTTAAGAGCTTCTGAACACCTGGATTTTTTTTTCAGTAAAACAATCTTTCCTTGCAAAACTGAAATAGGGGTGGAAAAATTGATTCCATTAAACAATAATCTAAAGAACAAAGCTTTTATTTGGTGAGTCTCAAGAGAGAGAGTGAAGTTGTTGGGGGGAAAATAATGTAGTTTTGGGAACACTTTCACCAGTTTTTCCTACATCACAGAAAAACAGCTTCAAAAGTTTGCAAATAGTTTCATAACAAAAGATGTAGAGGGAAGTTAAAAATATACTCTGATGAAATATTTTTAAAAATCTAAGCCTGGGAGAAATGATTATGTGTATAAGTATTGCCACCTAGTGGTCATAAATCTGATAAAAACAAACGTATTCAAATTCAAGAAAGGCAAGCTTCAGGAAAAATGAGGTACAAGTTCATCCTGGAATGGCTTTGTGAATTGTTGAGTGCATTGCACTTAATCATCATGGCAGGACATTTTGTCCTGCAACTGTGGAGACTGGGTTAGATTTACACTTCATCCCCAGAGCTCAAGGGAAGAAAAAAAAAAAAGGGAAAAAATCCAGTTACCTTTTAATTTGAGAAGGGAGCTTTAATTTGTCAACACAAAGGGAACCAAAACCAAAGAAACAGACAACCAAGTCCTTCACTATTAGAAGTCCAACACAACTGTACTCATTTAATTTTCAATATTTACTTTCACAATTGACTTAGTCTGTTCCTGGGTAGAGGGGGAGGGTGGGAACTGAAATTTGTTTTGGCCTCTCTTGAATGAAGTGCTTCAGCTACAGCATTTGTTTGGCTTCACAAGAATAGCTCAGTTGTGAAATAAACCCATTTTAGTTTAGAGGAGAAGCAGCACCTGAAAATGAGAGGAATGAGCACTGTGTCCAGGAGAAGCAGTCCTCTCCACTCAACAGAAGAATGAGCAAATATCACTCTGTGTTCCCAACCTGAGCTGGCTTACAGTCATGGTGCCTCAAACTTTCCAGCTCAGGTAACCCAATACCTGAACAACAGCTACAGGAAACCAGGGATCGGTTTACACAAACCTGAAAAACAGGACATTTCTCCCTGACCACAACTGCTGACTTCTGAACAAGTTTCAGTAAGTAACACAGGTTTACACCACATACACTCCGACCTGGAATATATATATATATGTAAAAATATATATTTATATGTTCTTGATAAATGTCACTAATTGGAACAGAGCATTACCAAAACGAGTGTAAGACTTTTCCTCACTGTTTAGGAAAAGCAGTAAATGGCACGGTGTCAAAGGGGAAGGTATTTTATGCAGTGGTAACAAGAGCAGTCTCTGGGAGCAGCTGCTTTAGGCCACAGCCAGGGTCTGAGGCAGGGTGATTCACTCAACTCCATTCCCTGCCATGTCCCTTTCCAAAGCCCACAGTGCTTCTACTGTCCCATGCCTACACAAGCAACACCTACCAAGCAGTTACTCAACCATGGCCATGGGATTAATGAAGATATGTATATTCCAAAAAGGGAATGAAAATGCCCTGAGTCACACAACAGTTTTCAGGAGCCCCCTGATCACACACACTGATGCAGTAAGGTCAGGTGATGCAGAGTAAAGGTAGCACGTGTCCTTTCATAGTCTTCTAGAACAGGCAACAGGACATGCACTGGCCAAGAGACTGGGTTGGGCAGCCAAAGAGGAGGAGAAAGAAAGGGATATGAGAAATTGCATGGCTGAGACTAAAAATAGAAAAAGATAACTGGAATAAACTGGGTAGCTCAGTGTTATTTGCCAGCTTGAGGCCTTTACCTTTAATGGCCATGGATAATAATGCACTGCTTCATTTTATTTGAAAGGGAGTTGGAAAATGTTTTCAGACTTGAGTCAGAAGACTGTTTGCTCCCCACTGAGTCACCACTGTAGCTGCCTACTACACTTATGTGGTTTCTTCTTAGAGCTGTCATGCTGAATGTACCCACATTGATGATATTTCTCTAACAGATCAGGTGCATGTGACAGCCTAAAAGAGTGATACCTGATTAAGAAAAACCCAACAACACCTGTTCAGGCTGCACTGTACATCAAACTTGGTAACAAGCTGTCTCATAAACACAAGGTTGCCATTGCATTTGGCATTCTCCACGGGCTGCTGCACATTCAAACTGACCTCACTGCAGTTTTATCAGGAAAATACTCACTTGTTCCCAAGAGACAATTGTGTGGCGTTCAGCTGGCTCCTTTTCCACAAAATTCACCTCAGCAACTCCAGGGGAAGTCTCTGAAACGAAAAGAGGAGCATGTTTGCAGCTGGCATGGGTGACACCAACACTGTGAGACAGACAATTTTGCAAACTAATCTGAGTGACAGCCAGGGAAAAGGCATTAATGATTGCAAGTGTTGTGCTGGTGACTGAGCAGTCACTTTCTTTTGTCTGTAACTGTACTTTGCATGTCTAGGCATGAGGATGTCTAGTGCTGCACAAAATGTTATCCTTTGATTTTTTTAATACATATATATGTACATATCATGATATATCTACACATACACTAATTTAGTGGGTGGCATTCCTGCCCAGGGTGGGAGGGGTTAGAACAAGGTGATCTTTAAGGTCCCTTCCAACTCAAACCATTCTACGATGTAAGGGCACACAATTTGTCTTCAAGGTGTGATCTTTTGCAGAGGCTTTATGGAAAATGAAAAAAAAAAAATCAGTGATGGGTTTTGAGGCGTATTCTTATGAATCTTTATTTGTAAGCATGCCCTGTGGTTTTGGTTGGGTAGGATATCCTCACCTGGGCACAAGATGTAGTGCAGTGCTGCTGTGAACTGCTAACAACCTTATTCCACAAGGGCAGGCACATTTCAGCTCTGGATTCAGTGGGTTTGGACAGACACAGAACCTGATCATGCTGAAGAGATCTGCATGAGCAAACATCAATTCTCTGGAACCTCAGATGGACACATGAAAATCTGTTACAAGCACTGAATTTGTATCAATCTATAAAAATCTTCTGAGTACTTTATGGGAAAGAATGCTATATAAATGTAAGATACTAAGCCACATGGTGCTTTCAGGTGTGTGATGGAAGAATAGACTCCTTTACAATTACTATTTTGTAATGTTTTATGTCATCCACAGCCAACTGAAATAATTCCCACTGAGATAATTCTCTTTGGATCAAGTCCAGAAAGACTACTAAATTGTTGTGGGAACTGCAAGCCCAGCAGACAGGGCTATGGAATAGAAGTGGTAACTATGCAAGGCTTTCAGGACTGGCTCTGCTGTGAAAGTACTGGCCCCTAAAGCAGTCACACACATTACAATTGCTTTCTGGTAAAACATACACAGTGCACCAGACAGGAAAAGCAGGCACTAGAGAGCTTTGGTTTGTTTTTTATCTTCAATGCCAGGCTTTTAATTCTATCAATAGCATTGGCCTTGTCTGTTCTGTTGGTGGAAGAGTGGGACTCAGTTTCAGGAAGCCTAAACTTCACTTGAGTTGGAAATATTGATTGTTACATTGTCAGATAACTGAGAAGATAAAACATGGCATCAGATAAACAAACTCCAAGTTAAAGACACCAAAAAAAATCATAGTTGGTCACATAGTTAAATTTATCTGGCCAAGGGGGACCCACAACATAGAGAAGACTCTGATGTTTCACCAAGTTTCTTCTGGTAGGTGGGTCCAAGGCAGGGCAATCTGTCTCTTGCTCAAATATAAGCTGTCTGAACAAGAGAGTGGAATCAATTACCTAACTGGTCTTTTCCATCTAAGCCATGCAAACCTTATGACATGTTGAGGAGATTATAATAACAGAGTAATTGTTATTTCTGTGATCAAAGAAAACAGCAGGGATGTTTAATTCATCATGCACAACATCTTGGCTGGGATGACAGAAGATTAAATGTCATATCAGTCAAAGAAGATGTCTAGGAATGAGAGAATGCAACTTCTAAAGAGGTCTGAACCAAATCCAACATCAAAAGAAAGAGAAATTCCATCTTAAAAGCCCAAATATTATATTAAAAATATACTGTGGGTAAACTGAAGACCATGTTTAATAGATGCATGTAGGTATGGACAGGAGCGCCATTTGGGTAAATTTTGCAATTAATTGCTTTTCTTTCTAGATGGAAGAAATGAAGAAGCCACTTTAGTGGCACCTAGATACATGATAAAGCTTAACTTCTTCAGACTACACCCTATAAATTAATCTGAGTCAAGATCATAGTAAACTCTGCCCTATTTTTAGGACATTTCATCTGGAAGCTCCCAAAACCGCTTTGCACTATTAATGAGAAACAGTCAATGTAATGGTGTGACACAAAGCTGAAGCAGGAAATCACAGGATTTTCAGTCTTTACAGTACTGCTAATACTGCCTGTAAGTTGGCTAAAGACTCAGTGTAATTTTAAAATGTTTTAATAGTTATGTTCTTATCTAATATAGAGTGCTAACAGTGAAGTGTGGCTCCGTCTTGGGCAGAAGAGCTAACACCTTCCATTCTGACTTAGTTATGAATAATAAATCTTTCTGGAATTTTCTATTACTCACAGAACATCAGCAAAATTAATACTGGCAATGGGAAAGATCTCTCCCTTTTTTCCTCTCAAGGTATAGACTCCATAATGCTTGTGAGAAATATCCCTCCTTGTAGGGACTTCTACAGAGACTACAGTTAAAAAATCCCCAAACCAACAAAACAATACCTGATTGTACTTTATGCTAGGCAGAAAATATCAAGTGACTTCATGAGACTTTCCAAAAGATTTAAAGTAAGATAGTTTCCAGTAGTAATAAATACAGAGCAAGGCGTCATTCTGAATGAGATACCCTTTGTTATTTGAAAGAAACAAGCACTGAACAGACTGGTAATGTTTCCCAATTAGCTAAGCAATTAATTTGGTGGCACAGTTGAAATGCCTTAGACTACTTCACTGGAAAAAATGTGCCAAATTCCCAGCAGGTGTGGAGAGGCAGAGAAAAGAAGTGGAGTAAAACACCACTGTGATGGACACTGCTGTATTGCACAATACAAGTTGTCAACGACACAGAGAAAAAGAAGAAAACACAAACCAGGAAACACCTTCCATGTGAAAGGGACGTTGCAGGACTTTCAGAGCCATACCTGCATTGCCACGTCGTGCTGGTGTACACACATACCCAAAAGAGTTTATATGGCAACACAGCATTCGCACACAGCTCACATCTCACAGCTCTCACACACCTGAGGGAGGTGAAAATGTGGGCAGGGACAGTAATTTTTTAAAAAGAGCTACTTCAAAGAAGGTTTTGCTATGATGATCATCATCAGTTTCACTCACAGAGCAGAGATAACCTTATCCTGATCTCACAACTAACAAAACAAACAAACAGAAAAAAATCCACCCACCCCACCACCTCAAGAAGTCCAGTATTAAGTGAGTATGACAACACTGATCAGAGATTGAGGGTGAAATCCTGTCCTCACTGAAGCTCAGATAAAGAATTTAACCATGATCTTTTAATCTCATCTGTTTGAGCAGCTATACAAACCCATGTGCAACCATAGATACAGTGCAACCATAGGTACACTGAGGTTATCAGGTGAAACTCAATGCCTCTTTGGGGTGAGATAATAACAGAGCTCAATTTTGGCTCCAAGATTCCCAGGAAGAAATTCCAAGACTGCAGCTTGTAATCTTGTTGCACACATGGTTTGGGATAGATGCATGGCTTTTCAGCCTTACAAATAAGACAGTCCTGTGCTCTGTGCTGCTGAGGTATGAAAGGCCTAATGCTGAAATCCTTTGCACACACAAATACTTTCACAAATCCTTGTGATTCCACTGATATGAATAAAGTTTTTGTCTGAGAATACTTCCTTTGGATGCCTTGCAGTCCTGCTGAACTTCAGAGGGAGCTCAGGCGACGCAAGAAGGCTCAATATCTGAGCAAAACCTGGAAATTACAAGCAGGGCATTTTGTGGAACAAGCCTCAGTGTGGGAACGAGCTGCAGGGCAATTATTTATGGGGATCTGATCCCCAGCAGATTGACAAATTGGCCTTCTACCAGAACACTGATGAACCATGCTGAACTCCCCTTCATGAGGCACGCTCCCTGCTCACCCCACATCATCACAGAGGTTCAAAGTTAGGCACAATTTACACAGGAAAGTTGTGTGGAGACCTCATAGGAACATTGCAATATCTGGAGGGGGCCTACAGGGAAGCTGGAGAGGGACTCTTCATTATGAACTGTAAGTGAGAGGACAAGGAATAATGGATACAAATTGAAAGAGGGGGAATTTGGGTTGGGTATTGGGAAAATTTTCACTTAGAGGGTGGTGAGACACTGGCAGGTTTGCCCAGAGAAGCTGGGGATGTCCATCCCTGGCAGCGTTCAAGGCCAGGCTGGATAAGGCCTTGATCAACCTGCCCATGGATCAGGGCTGGGACTGCATCCATCATCTGTGCGGTCCCTTCGACTTTTTACCATTCAGAGATTCCATCATTGTTCATAAAACACCAGTTTCTCCTTCTCTGGTGTTTATGGAACCCTTAAAGTCGGGAGATTCGGGATTCCTGCCGCTGCTTCCCGAAACAAGGATGTGTCTGTGCGTGTGCATAGGCTGCTCAGCAGCGCGATTCACAGGGGGGGCTGTGACAAACGGGTGGCTACCCCCGCCCCCGGCCTGCCCCCACCCTGCCGGGCTGCAGCTCAGCGCCACTCACCCAGTATCCTTGTGACGCCCAAGGTGAGCTTGTCCAGGTAGGGCTTGATGCCGCTGGGGAGTTTTTCCTCCATCCTCCGCGGGACCCTCCTGCCTCTGCCCAGCCCGACAGAGAACAAAGCCTTTCTGGCCTTCCTACTGCCCCGTAGCCGCAGGGCACGCTGGGAATAATAGTTCTTCCGGGCTGTGCCTTGGGCGGCCCATGGCGGCCGCCAGCACTCAGAGGACCACGATTCCCGGCATGCCTCACAACGGTCCGCATGCCTCCAGCGCAGACAGCCAATGGGCGGCGAGAGTCGGGGGGGCGGCGGGGGTATGCGGGGAGTGGCGGCTGTTTCAAGATGGCGGCGGCGGCCGCCGGTGTGGGTGGAGGTGCTCGCCGGGGCCGGGACTGTATCCTTGCCTGGGGGTCGGTGTGAGGGGACAGCTGCGGGAGGGGCCGCCACGGGCGTGCGGGGAGGTCTGGCGAGGGGTTTGGCGTGGAACCGATGCGGCGCTGAGGGTCGGGTGGGGTTCTGTGGCCGTGGCAGAGGCTGTGTGAGGGCTCCGCTGGCGAGTGTGGAGGGGGCTTAGCCTGAGGAGAGGGATTGGGTATGTGCCGGTTTGTAGGGGCTACGCGGGATTTCAGAGCAAAAGTGACCTGGGAGAGAAGGGAAGGTTGTAAGTCTTCTTCAGTGTGACCCAGCTGTGAAATCTCGGGGCAAGTAAATATATAGGAAATGGGGAAATTGCGTTCTGTTTATGGGGACTTGCCAGGCAACCAGTAGAGAGAATGAGGTTGAACATCCCGGGGAAAAGGAGGCTCAGGAGCGACCTTTTCACCCTCTGCTAGTGCCCGACAGGAGGTTGGTTGGGCCGGGTGGCAGTCGGGCTCTTCTCCCAGGCGACAAGTGACAGGACAGGAGGACACAGCCTTAAGCTGCTCCAGGGGAGGTTTAGGTTGGACATTAGAAAGCATTTGTTCACACAAAGGGTGATCGGGCGTTGGAATGGACTGCTCAGGCAGGTGGAGGAGTCATTGTCCCTGGAGGTGTTCAAGGAAGGACTGGACCTGGCAGTCATGGGTGTCCAGTCACAGGCTGGATTCAGTGACCTTAGACTGATTGATTCTGTGATTCTGGGGTGTCCAGTCACAGGTTGGATTCAGTGACCTTAGACTGATTGATTCTGTGATTCTTTGAAACTATGGCTAGAAGCTGAGCAGGGAAGAGATGCGTCTTTTGTGACTGGCACCTAAACTTGCCTAGGAGCAGAACGTTTTGGGTGAGCCTGTGTGGGACGTGGAGGGCTCTGTCTGTGAGGGATGAGTGTGAGGCTGGGGTGGTTTCACCTGCAGAGGAGCTGCAGGCTCCTCTTGTGGGAGGCTACGTGGGGCTGGGCACGTAGATGGCGTGGCTGGTGGCTGTGGTGTTGGGAGCTCAGCCTGTGCAAGCCTGGCTGTGGAGAGATGTGCTTGTGCGGCTCAGAGAACCCGGAGCTGCCATTGGTGTTTGGGCTTGTGTGGCTGAGCTGGAGGCTCAGCGACTTCAAGTCATTGGGGTAGAACTGACAGTGTGGCCTGGTGGAAATTTGGAAGCTGACAATTTAGTTTCAGTTATGAGGGGTTTGAAGCATTGCTGTTAGACTGAGAGTGGGATTTCAGCATCAACTGGAAGAGATTGGAAAGAAGAGTATGTCTGTGCTCTTTTATTTATGTTTGACTGCACACTTCCTGGGACAATGTGCAAGTGAAATGGGCCAACCATCCCATGGCCTGTTTAGGGAGCATGTTGTTAACATTTTCCATCTGTGTAAAGCAAAAAAGATTGTCTACAACTTTTTCTGTGCTGTGTGAATGGGATGAAGATGTGTGGCACATGTCGGATTTATTGCCGTTGTCACTACTTTGCTCAGTTGTAGAAGTGTTGATGCAATTACATTGACAGTCTGTTTTTATCAGTCAACAGGTTGTTTCCTATAAGTAAATCTGTTTTATAGAGCCCAGCAGTGGCCTCATGCATCACGATATTCCAAGGAATGAAGTTTTTTCTGACAACCATTTCCATTCTACGTGTTGCGGTGAATAGGCAGTGTTGCCTCTGACCTTGGAAAAGTTTAAATTCTTAGAAAAGCATGTGGCACAATTTAAAAATGATGTCAGCATATGCTTTCAAAAGAAGAGGAGGAATTTGTGTTGAGTTTCTCCAGTGCCTCTCACTGCTGTTGCACTGAACTTCAGCTGTGCTGGTGCAGGGTTTATAATACTACACCTGCCTTACTGGCAGTCTTGGAGGCACGTGGCAGTGGGTTAATGTTAAAATGCTGGTGCTGGTGCTGTCCCCAGTCTGTTACTCTGAGGAAAGGACATTGCTTATGAATCAGCCTCTGAGTCATTGTGATTTTCAGTCCAGCTGATTGAGGTAGCCTGCTCTGAGTTGTTCTAATACACTGGGCTGCAAAGCTTCACCAGGAGAGTCACCCTGGGAGCTGGGGGAGTAATAGTGACAACTTTGACTAGTCTTTGCATCTTGCTACTAGGAATTTATCCGCAACAGCTGGCAATGCCAGAGGCACATTTAAAAGCAGGATGTTGTTTAGGCAGATGGTTTTATTTCCTATAGCCATGTGTTGACACCCAGATTAGCCGTACGTCAGTGGAGTAGGAACTGCCTGTGCTGAAGTTTGTTTCCTGAAGCAGTGTGAGCTGAACATACACTTCTCAGTACCCTGCAGCTTGCTGTTGTGACTGTGCTGACACAGCTGTTTGGGCTGGGCTGTGATCCAGACTTGGACTTTTGATCCATCTTGGTGCTTTTTGGAAAGGGTACGCACAGTGCCTTCCTCGTGAGTTTGTTCAGCTTCCTCGTGCTGTGCAGTGTGTTCTGGCAGCTGGAGGTGGCAGGCTGTGGCTCACACGTGGGGACAGAAATGCTCTCAGTGTTTGTAGAGAGAGCTGGCTTTGACTCCAGTACTCACTGAATGTGTTTTTAAACTGGTGTGAGGCTAATGAGTGACAGTTGTTTACAGGTGGTAAAGTGCATCAACAAGATCATAAGTGAGCCTGTGATCAGGCCCTTCCAGTGTGACAAGTACCAGAAGTGTGATGGACAGTGGGTGTTGATTGAAGTTGCTGTCCACAGGGGGAAGCGCCTAGACTTTTCCTAATCTCTCCATTCTGTGGTAATTGCTAAATTAAGTTTTTGAGATGGTGCTCTCAGAATCAAATTCTAGTTAGGGCAGTGGTTTGTATAGAGACACTGAAATATTTTCACAATTTTACTTTATTGTATGAATGCAACTGCAAAACCTCAAATGCATTTATCTGTTAACAGTAAAGAAATTAGATAATTGAGTAGAAAGTTGATGAAAGTAAAGGGGTATAAACAAAAGACAGTGGAGGAGAATTTTGTGCCCTGTGCTTTTATTTTCCACTTTAGTATTGCCCTGGTTTCAGCTGGAATAGGGTTAATTCTTTTCCTTGTACTTGGTATGCTGTGTTTTGTATTTAGCATGGGGATAATGCTGATAACATGCTGATGTTTTGGATGTTGCTCAGCAGTGCTTACCCAAAAACATGGACTTGGGTGACCCATGCTCTGCCAGCGAGCAGATGCAGAAGAAGCTGAAAGGGATCATGTCCAGGAGAGCTGACCCAAACTGGCCAAAGGGAGATTCCATAATAGAACATCATGTCCAGTACATAAACTGGGGAGTGCTGGCTGGGAGCTGCCAGTTCCTGCTGGGGAAAGGCTTGGGCATTGTTCAGTGAGCAGCTGTACTGTGCATCACTTGTTTCTTTCAGGTTTTAATTCTCTCTCCCTCTTCCCTTCATGTTGCAGTTAGAATTATTATCCTGTTTTTTCAGTTATTAAGCTTTTCTTATCTCTACCCATGAGGTTTACTGTTTCTCTCTGGTTTTCCTTCCCACTTGGGACAGGGAGGTGGACAGGGAGTGGCTCTGTGGTACTGAGTTGCTGACTGGGATTAAGTCACAAGTATGTTAGTAATTTATGTGGGAATAACAATCTTTAAGTTCAGCTAAATGAAACTGCTCCTTTAAGGAAGACAGTATGATTTACACGCTTCCCTTAGTTATATTGAGTCCTATTTTTAGTGGCTTTTAGGATGCAGGGATTCAAGTTCAGTGCTAACAGTCATAGTGACTGCTAATAGCAGAAATAATATGGTGCCCTGTTGTTTGTGATTTTAAAGTGTTTTCTGTGTCATGTAATTCAACAGTTAAACCTCTGGGATATTTGAAAGTTCTTGAAACCTAAAGAAAATCAGTCCTCAAGCTTTTATGTATTACTCCTCATGTGATGATCAGATGAGAATGACCAGTATGAAACCTTTTGCATTTATCCTCATTTATGTTTCTTAGAATGTATTTCCCAGAATGGATTTCGTTGCAATATCAATAAACACTGTTTCAGAATTTGCTTTCCCTACATATCAAGATGGTCCATATAAACTGTTTAAATAAATATTATTAGTTCATTATCTTAGTAATTGCTCTTGTAACTGGGGCTGGTCCCTGGAATCTTTTGCAAAGGTGACCTCAGAGATAATCTTTACAGGTTGAAAGTTAATGCACAGGGAAGAAGGAGTAAGGCCTTTTGTTTTAGCTATCTTTGTGGTGTTTTTTTTTTAAACCAAGTTTTCCTTGCTTTTCTCGCTTCCAGAATGCTGTTTTCTTATCAACAGCTATACAAAATTAAGAGACAAAATACTTCTTTTTACAGTCCTGCTTAAAGAGCTAAGCTTGCACTCTTTTTATTTCCTTTAATAAAGCCACATGCAGCTTCTGATGAAGAAGATCCACTGGTGCCTGTTTCAGGTATGACCTTCTAATACACGTAAGCAAAGGTTTTTTCCTGTGGATGATAAAATTTGCAATGTCTTTTCAGGTGTGTGGTTTGTGTACCTAAGTGTATGTAAGGTGGAAAGTCATCATAATTCGGATGGGACATACATGATTATAGCAGAGGATTTATGCTCTGCTGCTTAGATGAGCATACTGTATAAGATGAATAGTTCCAGGGGAGTTGTTTCTGTTGCAGGTACAGTGTGGCTTTATCCAATTTATCAGGCAAGCTGAATTTTTAACATGGTCTCCACGGAATGTTGAAGCATTAGAGGTGTT